GAGGCCAAGGAATGTCACGTGATCGAATGCAACTGAACCATGTCACTTTATTTGGAATCTGATGGCTCTCATCTCATTGTCAGAAATTGTTAAGCTTGGTTACTGCTAGCCTGCTTTGGTTAGAATCTGCTCCTGCAAGGCCCCTGTGCTCTGCTGTCATCGGCCGCTCGGCTGTACTCGGCGGCTCGGCTGTGCTTGGCTGTGCTCGGCTGCGCTCGGCTGTTGTCGGCTGTAGTCGGCTGTGTACTCAGCTGTACTCAGCTGTACTCAGCTGTACTCAGCTGTACTCGGCTGGTCGGCCGTGCTCGGCTGGGATTGGCTGTAGTTGGCTGTTCTCGGCTGTAGTCGGCTGTAGTCGGCTTTGCTCGGCTGTAGTCGGCTGTAGTCGGCTGTAGTTGGCTGTACTCAGCTGTACTCGGCTGTGCTCAGCTGTAGTCGGCTGTAGTCGGCTGTAGTCGGCTGTAGTCGGCTGTAGTCGGCTGTAGTCGGCTGTAGTCGGCTGTAGTCGGCTGTAGTCGGCTGTAGTGGGCTGTAGTCGGCTGTAGTCGGCTGTAGTCGGCTGTACTTAGATGGGCTGTGGGGTTGTGGGGTTACTAACTGGTTAAGTGAGTTAGGTTGAAAATTAAGATGAATACTAACTAGTTAGAATGGCAATTATATACAATTAGTTAAGTAATTAGTAACTGGTTAGCTAACTAGTTACTAATTGTTTAGTTGTGCTTATTTTCATGAATATTTCCATAGATATACACTTATATCATATGTAAATATACATGCACATCCCAGAATGGCTACTGTCTTTCTGACATGTGACCAGCAAAAAAGGTTTGAGCCATCAAAGGTTTCTGTTGATATTTGCGGTCAACATCAGCTTGAGCAGTGTATATCACACTATATGTTCGCAAGATACATATGCCTGAGCCTTCAGGCTTTTGAGGTTGGACATCTTTCAAACATAGAAATCTTTGAGCTACTATAGGTTTCTTGCCACACAAGAGGTTCCAAATACATTGTGTCTTTCTGCACAGATATTACTGCCACAGTTTTTCACCTAAAGCTTCACGGAGTCAAAGTTGTGATCTTCTGCTGGCCTTTGGCAGAAGTCACTGCAACCGTAAGTCTTGCAAGGGCACAGCTTGATGGCTCCTTCTGTCTTCCCATTCGGCAAAGGTTTCAGCCATCTTCTGCAAGTGCAATATTTTTAGCACAGCCACATCATCTCCAAGGTTGTTGGTCAAAAAGCAAAGGATTTCACCACAACCAAATGTGCTGCCACAATGGCTTCAAGTAGACAAAGTCACCACGAGAGCACAAGCCAGGTTTACTCCTGGAATGATTGCTGCTGCTCACATTATTCCAGCTGTGCCAAATTTCTGCGGCCAAAGGAAACAATCTCCTGGGCAAGGCTTTGGTTTGCAACAAGGATGGCTCAATTGCAAACACCTGAGGATCTGAAAGCCTTTCCAACTCCAGGGTCAAAAGAGTAAACAGAGTGTTCGAAACTGCTCAAGTTTTGAATCAAAGTGGCAATTCTTCTGCAGCATCTGCTGGTTAGTTTGGAGTCTCAAAGCTCCTGCAGAGGCATTGCTTGCTTTCTCATCCAGCGCATTCTGCTAACTGCTTCTCAAAGCTGCAGGGAAAGTTCTTAGCCAGCTTCAGCAGCATGGAAGAAGTCAAAGTATCAATCTTATGCTCCATGGCTTCTAAGAGCTTAGGAAGAGCCAAAGCATTGGGCCTTATTTCCTGTAAGCCCTCCAAATCATCCACTTCTTTCAGCACATTTTCAGTGCCCCAGCTAGCCATGGCTGCCAAGGTTTCAAAGCCCAAAGGGAAAAGAAAGAGTGACAGTCATATGAGTGTCAATACATGGCGCAAATGCCTTGGTCTTTTCCCCAGCTCAGCTGTGATTAGGAATGATCATCCATGGTCTTCATCTTGTTCACCACATGGTTCAATTGGTGAAGCATGCTGTTCAAAGTATCCACCATGCTCCCCTAATAGTTCACCACTGTGGACGTATCATTGAGGATGTCCTTGAGGCAGGAAAGCACCTTGCATAGGAGGAAGATACCAACCTCCAAAAGCATAACCAGAGTGCCAGTGGTGACCTGGGGCACTATGTCCTGGGAGCCATTGGGAGCCATAGTCCTGGACACTTGCATAGCTAACCTGAAGCCCCAGTGTGGAATATCTGGTGCCAAAGCCTGACAAGGCTAATCTACATGAAGCTGCTACATGTTCTTTAATCCAAATATGTGATCAGCATGTTGGGGCCCAGGACCCTAGCAAAGCATGAGCCCTTGAGGCTACTGAGACCTGAGCCCTGGAGGCTAATGAGACATCAGCCCTGCAGGCTTCTGAGACGTGAGCCATTCAGGCTAACGTAAGACTGATTCCCATTTTGAAAAAATATCAAAAAACGGTGGACATGTGCGACTCCAAGTGAAAAAAAAAGCTTGACCAGGAAAGTTGGCAATGCAAAGAGTTTGCGCTTCAATTCAGCTAGCTGAATTGAAACGCAAACTCTTTGCATTTCAATTCAGCTAGCTGAATTGAAACGCAAACTCTTGGCATTTCAATTCAGCTAGCTGAATTGAAACGCAAACTCTTGGCATTTCAATTCAGCTAGCTGAATTGAAATGCAAACTCTTTGCATTTCAATTCAGCTAGCTGAATTGAAACGCAAACTCTTTGCATTTCAATTCAGCTAGCTGAATTGAAACGCAAACTGAAACGCAAACTCTTGGCATTTCAATTCAGCTAGCTCTTGTCGTTTCCATTGGGGAGACCAGGTACCACTGCTGCTCAGCGCGCAAGTCCTCCAGCTTTGGATCCTCACTCCTCTTGCTGGGACTCCTGTGGAGACTCGTCTAGCCAGCCATGGTTGGACTCACCGGGCCACTGGAGGCCATTCCTTTTGCGGAGACTCCTGCGGCCAGTGCTGTTGCGACTCCTCTGGTCAGTCCCGCAGGGAAAAGCAATAAATAAACAATATCTTTGTTTTAAAAAAGTTTGTAGAAATAGTTTGCAAAACCTGTTTCTCTTCCACATTGGTGTCATCTGCAAGTGTTGTGCTCCCATGTGCATAGGCAGAGGCAGCTACTTCCTTCTGAGCCTGCTCTGCCAAGAGGTCTTTCCAATCAGGTCCAGGGGCTGATAGGACACAGCCACTCTCCACCCACTGCTCAAAGGAATCTTCAGCAGGTGGCTCATCTTGAAGATTTTCCCCAGGCAGGTCAGGTGCTGAGAAGTCAGCTTGATATTCTGCGAAGGCAGCTTGGTTCTGGAGCAGTGCCAGAGCAGAGTTGCTTTGCACACAAATCAAAGCAGTTAAAAACTTTAGATTCTGATTGGATTGAGCCACAGGGCGCCAATGACTTGGACTACCTCATAGACTAGGATTGGATTTGGTCCAGGCTTGTGTAAATACTACATACATGGTATGTTTCAATGCCATCAGCCTGCCTGGCTCATGTTGCTCTTGCACACATTAGCCCTGGTGGCTCCATCAAACACATTGGCCTGCCATGCAGTGCCATCCTGCTGCACAGTGGCCTCTTCCAAGGCCCTCAGTGAAACTTCAAGCATGCCTTTTCATGGTGCTAGGCTGTGCCTTGAGATGCACATTGAAAAAAGGACACATGCAGTGTGTGTGTGTGTGTGTATTTTGTAAATATAAGCACTTGGAGCCTAAGTTGAACCTTAGGACCAATAAACAAGTGCCTTTACACACTAAAAAACAACAAGTTCATGTGGCTTTAAACATGTTTGAGTCTTGAATGCTAATGTGTTGGGCCCAAAGAGGCTAGTGTGCATAAGCCTTGCAGGCTAATGCCTGGAAACACACAACCTTGCCCAGCCCGCTGAATAAGTAACACCTGTACACCATGTCTGGTGTTTTTGCATCCCTCTTTAAGGCCACTACCAGCCTCATTGCTGCAAGGAAACGTTGAATTTACAACCCAGAGTGCCACTTGATGCCATGCAGAATTAACACACATGTTAGAGCCTTTGGGGCTAATGAACTTCAAAATGATTTCCAATCACCCTAGGCCTAAAGGCTACAAATACTACTGCTTTGAAATTTTACCAAGACACATTCCACTTTAGCAAGGAAGCAACTTCAATTTCACAAAGCATACAAACATTGTCAGCTTTTTGGCTAATTTGCGAAATCTCAAAAACAAGAGCCCAAATGGCCAATGTGTAAAAGCACAAAAACTTCAGCCAACATGGCTCATCTGTGAACTTGCAAAAACACAAGCCCAAAAGGCTAATTTTAAAAATTCAAAACTCAAAATAGTGGCGTTTATTTTCAATATTTTGCCATGTAACTAACTCAACTAACTAATTAGCTGGTTTAGGTCTAAGTGCTTAACTAACTTCACTAAGCAATTAATGTGATCTTAAGATCTTTAAGATGTTTAGCTAACAATTATAAAAAGATAGTAATTGAAATAGAGACATTAGATAAGTTACGGTTATTATTAACTACTTAAAAGGTACTTAGCATATGGTTAACATACAGTTAGTAAAGGCATAATAATTATACTTAACTGTGACAACTAGTTAGTAAAACCACAGCCCATCTAAGTAGTCGGCCGTAGTCGGCTGTAGTCGGCTGGTCGGCTGTAGTCGGCTGTAGTCGGCTGGTCGGCTGTAGTCGGCTGCACTCGACCGTGTGAAATTCCTAAGCCCTCTCTCCTGGCACAATGCAAACTCCCCTGATTACACATAAGGAGAGACCCCCAAACGATAGTTAAGTTGACGCAAATATCTTGGTGAACGTTTGGGTTTATGGGGATATGTATATATATATGTATATATATATATGTATAAATAAATAAATAAATAAAATATAATTACTAATGAATTTAAAATTTTAAACCAGCAAACATCAATGGGGGGCCTCACATTCCCAATTTTGGATGCTTACATTCTAAAATTCATGCAAAGATCATCATTTTTTTCATGCTAGATCATCTATTTCTATGAGCCATCTATACCATAGCTATGTGAAAGTTCCCCCAATTTTCCAGGCGAAATCCGGCCGGTTGGTGTTTGCCCCAGCTTCGCTTGTAATACGCGATCTTCTTAGCCACCTCGTCGCTGCCCCGGGCTTTGCGGGTAGACCACCAAAGGCGATAGCCGCCATAGGCCAAGCAACACTCCAGAAGAAATGCCACCTGAGGCTGGTCGAAATGGCCTTGAATAGAGGGAATTTAACGATCTTTCTGGCATTTGGGATGGGGATTTTGATTTTTGACCCAAGGTATACGGAAAATTCCTGATTACATATGGTCAATTGGATAAAAAGGGAAATTGAGGAACAAAATCAATGTAATGTGGTAAAATGCCAGAAACCCATGATCAATAATGGTTAATAGTTAATGGTGATACATAATCATTTAGATGGGGAATTTGGATTTTACCATATTTTACCCAACTACGATTATATGTATATATTTTTTATTCCACTCTGCTCGAGTCCTGTCCTGGACGCCTGCTTGCAGGCACGTCTCAAAAGCTGCTGTAGCGAGACATGCGTGCCCAAGGTCTTCACTTCATGTCAGTTGACATGGCTACTAGCCTAGGGACCAAAATTGAAACAAAATCTAAAAGTCGCCCATGTTCTTCCAGTAATCGCTCGTCATTTCTGTGCCTTTTGCTCCCACCATGTACGGGTCGAAACCTGCGGCCAGAGCATCCAATGCTTGCTGTAAGAGTTCTGGATCTTCTTCAAATCCCTCTTCAGTCAAACCCTGGGCATAACGTAAATGAGCTTCGGCGATCACTTTGCACATCAAAGGGGGGTAGGCTTTCGCTTTGGCCGTACGCCACCCTTTTTTGTTGCTCTCCCGTCCACCCAACCATTCCGTTGGCTTCCAACCCGGTTGGTAGTGCTTGAAGAGATCCATGGCAAAATTCTCAAGCCTTCCAGTGAGCAATGATGTGGGCTTTGTAAAGGGCTGTCCTAACGGCCCTTGAATAAAATCAATTCTTTTGACATCTGCTGCCAACAAGAGTTGTTGGATCATTGCTGAATCCCAAATGGTCCAGCGTCCTTCACGACCCTCCACTCCTTTGGGGTGCTCCAATGAAAAGGAGGCACCAAAACAGTATGCCAAAACCATCAGGGACAACGCTTTCATCATGAGCAAAGTTCCTACAAAACACTGTGTAACTTCTTGTAGGGTGAGGTCATCCTTGCCCCATGGAGACTGCATGTCACGTAATGGTCTCGGTGCTGGGCCATCGTTCACCTCCATCCATCGTGCCAGTGTGTAAGTCTCGCACGGGGGTGCAGCATGCACCCCCGTGACTTTGCGCGCCATAATGAGCCGGCGCCACAAAACGTCATCAAGGATATTGCCAAACTTTTGATCAATGGCAAGATCCACACTGATCGGTTGGACATTGCCTTGCCACTCCATCCAGCTGGCAATGTCCGAATATCGGCGATGACCAGAAAATAGGATCAACACATATTTCTGGCCTGTCGACATCGGCCGTGGAATCCAATCAAAGGCAGGTTGCCAATGCTTCAGCTTTCCAAGCAACTCCACTTCCAAATTTGCTGCCGCCTTATTGATGCTGCATACACTCATGTCTCCAACTTTACGAGATGTCTTGCTCCGACCTCCCTGCCCGGGCGGGAGCATGCCAAAAACTGACCACTGCCTCAATTCTTCACTTGATGGCTTGCCAGTCTCACCTGCATCAACATCTCGTTTCTGCAAAGTTGAAATCATTTCATGCTGTTCACACGGCCTCCACAAAGAATCAACCTTTGCATCCAACAGCCCTGTCTGGTGCATTGCCAAACCCTGTTTTCTGTCCAGTTCATCCAAACGATTGGCCTCTGCAACTTCCATAGGATAAAACCTCCTGCACTGTCCAATCCAACAATCAGTGGTTCCCATATGAAGATGACGCAAAAGTCTGGGCCTTGTGTGGAAAAACCTCTTACAAATGCGACAACAAGCATCCGTGGCAAAACGCCTCATAGCCATCCTGTAGCCATGCTTGCGCTGCTGATGGACTGCCAAAGCTGCTTGGGAAGCAAAAGTAACATGGCAAATGTCACACTCACTGACCTCACTGTCTCTCTGGTTCGAATCCTCTTCATCTGCTCTTTGCCATCCCATCTCTCGCAACATCTGGTCTTGTTCCTCCGCATGCTCTTTGACAGTCAGAAAAGCTTTGATCTTGAGCAAATGAGATTTCTGTGCCTTCCGCAGACCACGCTTCAAAGTGACTGCAAATGGCTGAAAATCTTTCCATGTTGCCACGTCCTCAAGGTGACTAAGCTCTTCTGGCACCAACATGTTTCCGATCTGTCTCCTCATCCAATTAACTGCTTTCACCGCACCATGCAACCACGATTGACCTTGCATGATCTGATGGTTGTGGAGAACAGCTCCTATCATGTATTCATCCGCAACATGCATGATGTGGAACAGCAATCTCAGACGTTGGACATACATCAATTCCATAGGCAAAAGGTGAATCCATGTCTCTCGCCAGCTCATAGAGCTGGAGATGCCTCACTTGCCCTTGTTGGTCTCTGGATTGGATCTGCTGATATGTTCGGAAAACACCAGCTTGCCATGCATCATACTCTCCCTGCGTGAGATCCGTCCAGGTTCCAGCATGCAGTGTGAGAACTGGAATACCAATACTCTTGATCAAAAGCCGCTTCTTTTCCAGATCCATGCTGGGATTCTTCAGCAGCTTGTTCAAGGGATGCAACTTGGCCATGGTACTGGCAGTCCGCACTTTGATCTCTTGCAAACAACTTCCAGTTCTTGTGATATGTCCACCAAGATGTTTGTAATGCGCGACAATGGGGATCCTGAGACAGCCTGTGTGTTCTGACATAACGCAAAAACCTTCACTGCTTGTACGCTCGAAAACTTGTCTTGCTTTTGTAGCTCCTTCACCATGGAAAGCAAAGATTGCAGCCGTCTTTCCAACTCCACAAGTCAAAACCATGCCATGCTCCAGCATCGTGTCCTGGATGATTGACATCATGTGGGCCGCTTTGTCTACCACTTGATCAGCAGAAGCACATACTGATACGGCCAAATCATCAACCCACGTCACACATCGTGTGACCCAGATGCCTGACATGTTGTCTTGATAGTGAAGTGGCATACCAGCTCGACAGGCTCTTTCATGTATTCGCCCCAGAATGCGCGACATCACAAGGCTGAATAGCACATCTGCCCCTGGGTCTCCCGGGCGGGAGCCCGTGGCAGGAGCCTGGATGCTCCTGCCGTCCGGGATAGTAAACCATGTGTGTTGGAGGAGAGCCTCCGTGTTGTCAGCTGTCAGTGTTGACTGGGTCGCTTGTCCAAGAATATTCTCATACTTGACATTAGCTTGGAACTGCTCCCATGCTGAGAGGGGTAAACCAATGCGATCAAAAACCTTCCTGATCTGCACATCGTTTCCGCATCCAGTCAACATCTCTTTGACCACGGAGTAAAAGGCAGAGCGTATGTCAATGAAGAGGAGTGCATGGGATTCTTTCTGTCGTCGAGCTTGTGCTTGCCACATTTGAACCTGAAGGTGCAAGCTCTCTATTGACAGCCCAGAACGCCCTCCCCACTGCATTGGGCAAGCAACCCGCGTCAGGCCCCGCACCATAATGTGCCTCCATGCCTTTGATATCACTCTGGCTACAACCGGTTCAAGTAAAATAGCCCTGTAGCCTTTCATGTCCTGAGCACTGCCCTTACCTTTAAATAAAGGAAGGAGCCATCCTCCTGTGAGCTCCGGCACACCTTGGCATCGCAAGCCCATTTTCAAGACCAGAGGGTAGATCCTCTTTGCTGCTGTAGCACAATCGCCCTTGAAGAGCTCGGCTCCCAGTCCATCAAGGCCTGCTGCTTTGACCAGGTTCAACTGTCTCAGAGCCTTCTCAACATCCATCAACGTTGGCACTTCCAAAAGCTGCTCAGCAGTCCGAGGTTCACAGGTGGGCTTGGATTTGGTCAAAAGATCAGCAAAGACCACAGTCTCGGCGTTTTCGATGTCAGCAAACTGCTGTTGCCACGCTTCTGCAATGTCGACCCTGGAAAACTTCCATTGACCATCCAAACTTCGATAACCAGGAAGAGGCTTGGTAAGTTTCCCAGCATGTTTTGCAATCATCTTCTTCGGCTGCAAAATGCTAAACAAGTCTCCATTGCTTGCATGGTTTGTTTGCTGATTTTTTTGGTCCAATTGTTCCTTGATCCACCTTTTCCAATCCAACTTTTTGCATGACCTGAAACGTACATCAATGTTGATCCTGGCTTCCAACGTCACTGCTTCTTGCTGACGCAACAACGCAAGGTCCCAGTCCACCAATTTGTTTTGCTCCACATGTTCATGCTTGCCTTTCCACGCAAGAAAACATTGCTTCAGCACATGCATGTTGATCTCTCTCTGGATCGTTCGGTGTTGCTGACGTAGATCTTTGCGGTCACACAGTAGATTCCATGTGTTCTCACTGAAGTACAGCTGCCTTGGCTTCCTCTTCCTTTTGGGGAAATATTTCGCGGCTCCTTCCTGCAGATGTTGCCTGATGTTTGCCCAGTGAGCATTGACATCCTGAGACCATGGCTGTTCTGGTAACATGCTCATCAATTGAACACTTCCCATCTTGCACCATTCTCTTGCAGCATCACGGTCGTAAAAACTGCTTCGAAGAAACCTGACATCTCCCTTAGGCGACCACTGCATTCCGACTTCTAACATCAAAGGTCTATGCTCCCCATCTCCATTGAGAACATCGATCTCTCTGTCAACATAAGATCGAATGATACCAGCTTGAGATTCTTTGGAGATCAAAATGAAATCGATACGACTGCTGTATCCCAACGGGGACATGAAGGTGGCAGAAGGACCATCATGAAAATGCGCAAAAGTGGAAGGGATCATGAGATCCCATCTGTCAGCAAATTGCCTCAACCTGCTACCGGCTTCATCTTCAACATCCCAAGCATGGTCATCGCACCCTGCACTGGTGATACTTCCAACCCTGGCATTGAAATCACCCAGACAGATTGCCGGCACATTGCTGTCACGTCGCATCATGACATCATTCAACTCATCCCACCATTTTGACACTTCATCAATTCCTCGTCCTTGTTGTGGGGCATGCAGCACAATCACATCAAAAACCACTGCACCAAAA